CTAATAAACGTTCTCTAAAATTAGGCCAATAATCCTGAAAACCTGCCCATTCTCCCCCCCCCCCCCCCCCCCCCCCCCCCCCCCCCCCCCCAGTTCCTTCCCGATAAAGAACAAACAACCAAAAAGCCCCCAGCAAGAGTAAAAAATAATGCAGGCAGAAGTCCAGCAGCAGAGTGAGGGCTATCCATTTTATTGCAGTGAATGCAGCATGTATAATTACCTGCCTTGTGGGCAGGTGGCGTTTGTGTGCATTCAGTGAAAGCAGTTCTTGGCCCTCAGAGACAGAGTAGGGGCTCTTGAGACCAGAGTGGCTGACTGAAAAAGCTAAGGGAGACTGGTACATAGATGAGGCTTTTTGTGATATAATGGAGTATTCCCACCCTTGCTCTGTGTTGAGCCCTTCTCCCCGTCTGACAGCCTCTGTGTTGAGGAAGATGAATATCTCGGGGAAGGAGAGCATCAAGTGGGAGTAGAGGAAAACAATCCTATGGTTGGGATCCTCCTTCCAAAAGATGTCAGGTTATCCTCTTGCACTGAGGATACCTCTCTGGGGTGGGGGACTCCTATTATTAGTAAGACAGGTAATAGTAATGGAGGATATGTTTATTAGAAAAATATATAGTTGAGTTTGTGATGGCCAGGAGAACTGCATGGTGAATTGCCTGCTGGGTGTGAAGTTTGTAGATCTCTCAAGACATTTAGACAGACTTATGTGCAGTGCTGGGGAGGAGCTGGTGATCATGGTACATGTAGGTGCCAGTGATATAGGGAAAGGTAGGAGAGAGGTGTTGGAGGCCAAATTTAGGCTGGTAGGTAAAAAATTGAAGTCCAGGATCTCCATGGTAGCATTCTCTGAAATGTTCCCTGTTCTGCTTGCAGGGCCAGTTAGACAGGTAGAACTGCAGAGTCTCAATAAGTGGATGAGACTATGGTATTCATAGCAGGGATTTAGGTTTATTAGGAATTGGGGAACCTTTTGGGAAATGAGAAGCCTGTACAGGAAGGATGGGCTCCACCTAAACCAAAAAGGAACCAGATTACTGGCTTGTAAAATTATAAAGATCGTAGAAGAGGAGTTCTTAGACTAAGGGCTGGGGAAAAGCTGACAGGTACAGAGGAGTATGTGTTTTAGACAGACATCTCTTAAGGGATGATTTATTAAAGGGATAATTGTAGTAAAGAGGAGAGGACAGAAGTTAATGAAGTACAGGTCGGAACTGAAAAGAAACTGTCAAACGAAAGCGTCCCATTCAGTTACATAACATGAAGGCCGACAACTAAATATTGACAAATTTTATAAGTGCTTATATACAAATGCAAGAAGTCTAAATATTAAGATGGGTGAACTTGAGTGACTGGTATATAATGAGGATATTGATGTAATAGACAACACAGAAACTTGGTGGAACGATGATGGTACACAATAAATTCAGTATTGATAAATGCAAAGTAATGCACATTGGAAAACATAATTTCAACTACATAAAAAATAATGGGATCTACATTAGCTGTTACGACTCACGAAAGAGAACTTGGAGTTGTTGTGGATAGTTCTCTGAACACTTCTGCTAAGTGTGCAGCAACAGTCAAAAAAGCCAACAGAATGTTAGAAACCATTAGGAAAGGGATAGATAATACAGAAAATATCAAATGTCACTACATAAATCCTTGATATGTCCACATCTTGAATACTGTATGCAGTTCTGGTCACCCCATCTCAAAAAAGATACTAAAATTGGAAAAAGTACAGAGAAGAGCAACAAAAATGATTAGCAGCAAAGAGTCCTGTAGCACCTTCTAGACTAACAGACGTATTGGAGCATGAGCTTTCGTGGGTGAATACCCACTTCGTCAGATGCAATAGATGAAATTTATTTTTTCCACTTTAAAGAAAATGGTAAAGTAAGAATTTAGTGCATCAGAAGAAGCAGCAATAACAGCAGACATAATAGTTTGCTAGCAAGAATTTTACCACCTGCATATGCATTTAACTTGATGTTGTTTCATAGATTTTTCAAAAAGCAGAAGGCTCAGATTACTTTGATACCATCCCCTGATTTGAACAACATGATTGTATGAAGATCTGATGTAGCCTGCTTCTAATCCCAAATCCTCTCTGTCAAGGTCTAGTCCATCTTGAACACTGATCTCCTTGCATCATCTCCCTGGCTCATACCATTCTAGAGAAGTTAAGATGCTATAACTCTCTCATCCTACATGCTATAACATTTTACATGTCGTACAGAAATAGTTGATTTATCTTCATGTGTATGACTGGGGCAATTTACACCTAAATACTGGTGATTGAGTGTTGCATAGTTTGACCTACACTATAAATGTATCAAAACTTGTAATTTTATAATTTGGGTAATACTTTCATTGTGAATAGCTAGACCAGTTCACTTTAGATAGCCTATTAGTTCAAATCTGCTAGAGGAATTCCAGGAGAATAACCGTAAAGCCTTAATTGTCAGTATCCAGACTTCCAGGTCTCAGACTCATTTTCTGGAAGAGATAGAGCAATGGTTTTCAACCTGTGGCTCGCGGGCTGCATGCGGCCCAGTCAGCACACAGCTGCAGCCCTTGTGACATCCTCAGGGCAATACAGTATGTATGTGTGTGTGTATATATATAATTCTCATTATATTTTTTTTTGCTTGTTTTATTTTTATTTTGCTTGTTTTATTATTTGTATTTTCATAGCACCCTAAAGCCCTAGTCACACACCAGCATGCCATTGTGAAGATATCTTAACATTTCTGTTGCATGATAAGATAAAACCAAATACCTGAATACACATGGTTAATTAAAACCCTTACTTCCTAAAGGCCAAAGGAGCAGGGACTGTTTCTTGTACTACATCTTGCACAGTGCTGAGCATTTGCACAAATACAATACTTGATACTGACATTTCTGATTTTGTCTTAAGTATAAGTTGCAGTAAAGACTAGAATATTTAAAACAAAAACACTAATTTTAATACAGTATTTGCTCAAAGCATCTTAGCATTCAGTGGTTTCCTTCCTTCCTGTTTTGTATGAGTTTTATGTAAGTAAAAATGTATCCCATTTTGCATTATTTCATATCATATGCAAAATGTAGTTATGGAAGAAGTGAAATGAGGGCCCGATGCTGTACAAAAATTAGATGCAAGTCTGCAGAAAGAATTTATTGTGGCAGTAATTTATTTTTGCACCTAAAGTAAGAAAGGTACCATATACACATTCTTTATTTCCTGCTGAATGGAAACATGTAATTAACTTCTAACTTTCTTGGAACCTTGTAAAGTTTTATATGATTTGCCTCTTTACTTTTATTAGAAGTACGTAACCTGGTTCTCCTATCGCTTATATGATTTATAGTAAATCATAGTTAATGACACTGGAGGTCAGAGGAGGTTTGTAGGTGTAAGTCTAGTGTAAATGGGAGAAGAGTCAGGCCCCTAGGACAAAACAACCCAGTTGAAGACATCTCTATGTTAGAAAATACAGCTGAATCTTCTGCTTAGTTCAGTGGAAGATTTTTTTTTTTTAACCCTTCATTGTGTGGTGTGTGTGTGTGTATGTTTTTATATATATATATATATATATATATATAAAAAGCTTTTTCTAATTCAGGTGTGTGTGTGTTTTTTTTATATATATATAAAAGCTTTTTCTAATTCAGGTTCCTCCCATTGTGAAGAGACGTTTTAGATAAAGCTGAACGAATTCAGACCTCACTCTCCATTTCTGTGGTTGCAGAGTGAGTTCTGGAGTAGATGAATGTTAAGTCCTCTCTGGTGGTGTTTAAGTCAGTAACTTTTAATTGAGTTAATGGAGGTTTGGGGGCCCTTTGTTCTGTAACCTATCCTTTGTCTCTTAAGAAACCCCCATGTGATGCTGCAAGAACAGTGGTTGATGGAGGCATTTGAGTACCTCTCTGTAAAAGACAGGAAGATGCTGATCATGTTCTCTGAGAGGACCCCCTGACTTTGAAACATAGTCCCTTTCCACCCTTTATCTGAAATAGCCCAAATTTGTTGATATTTAGGGCACAATGCATAGTTCATTTATTTATACAAGCTTATGGGAAGTGCAAAATACCATCCCTTATGTGCCCTTACCAAAAGTTTGAGTAAATAGATGGACTGTGCGCTCTACCTTAAAGATTAGTCAAACACAGGTGTGTCATATCATGTGGGAATTACACAGGAAGGACGTAGACAGGTTATGGAACAGTAGGTTCCCAACATACCTTAGTGAGAATCGCTGGCCTGAACTCAGCCAGAGGAGGCTTAGCATTTTTCCACTCAAGATTGTTTGGGGGTGTGAGGGAGTTACTTGTTTCTTATGTGACTGTATATTCAATTTATGCCAGAGGTGTTGAGTGATCAGGATAGGTATTTTTTTGTGTTTTCATTGATAAAATTATTTATGTAAATTGTCTTTCCTTTTTAATTATAAAATTGCCAGATATTTTTGTGGAGGAAAATAATTTAAGAACATAATTTGCAAGTATGACGTAGATTTAGATTAGCGCCTTATAATTACTAGTTTTAAATAGTTAATCAAATGTTATATTCTCCTTGCTAGAGTTCATGATTAAACTGTGACATATTGAAATAATCTGTGACCCGATCTGAACATCTGAATTCACTTTGTGCAATATGGCAAACAGCTGTATTTCAATTCAAAGCTAAAACAACTGTAGTACATTGACCCGTTGAAGATTACAGTAGATTTTCAATTCCATGTTAGCTCTACTTATTGGAGAAAATTGATTTGCGAGTGCTTCTGCTTTTGACTTTGTTTTTAATGTCCGGAAGAAAGGAAATAGAACATGCGGATGATGGGACTTTGATGTGTAAAGAAGTTAATTATCTAAACCATCAAACAAAATGTGGGCTGGGGAAGTAATTATTTTAAAGGCTATGACAGGGCATGATGAGCTGTTGGTTCATCATGTCAAGAAAATGCTGTACACCTGCTTGATTTGAAAGTTAAATATTTTGGTTTTAGTAGGAAGACAGTGGTTTAATGAACGGGTAGAGCTGGTATGCTCCTAGTCCCTGATCCTGCAAAGTTTTATGCAGGTAGGTAATCCCATTGGATTTAATGGAACTGCTCATGTGTAAGTGTTTGCAGGACTGGAGCCTTAGCAAGTAATTGTGTTGACATAAAACACATGGGCATAAATGACACTCTGAAAGTTACACTTCTGGGTGGAACTCTTTGCAGGATTGTGGCCTATGTGCACAATTATTTTTGGAAGAGTCCCACTAAAGTCAGTAGGATTACTTGTATGCAAGGCAGTATTGCCAGACTCAAATGTTCAAAAATCATTAGCTCAAAACTCATGAGATGTAACTGTTATTTGAGTCTGTTTGCTTTTTAGTTTCTCAGTTTTAGTGAGTCTCATTTTCAAGCTTTTCTCTTCAGCCATAAGGGCTAGAATTTTTTTCTTAAATAAAAGGTGAGATCATCACATAATCACTTGTCTCCAGGGTGGGGAGCTTTAAGTAAAGCACCAAATATCATGAGAGTTGGCAATGCTGGTAAGGGATACCCATGTCTGTAACAATTATTAATGTGAACAAGGGATGCCTGATTGGCCCTTACTCAGTGCGTGGGATGAAATAAGACTACATGCCATGCACTTAATTTTTTTTGACAAGCCCAAATAATTTTACAGTCCCAGTCCTGCAGGCACTTACATGCATGTATAACTTTACTCACGCAAGTGATTCCAATGAAGTTAATGAGACTGTGCTTAAAATAAGCATGTGTGTTTTCAGGATTGGGGCCTTATCTTATTAATCATTAACTTTAAGAGTATTTTCTTTAAAATTTTTAAGGGCAAGAAAATTCTAGCCGAAAATTAGTGCTAATGCCTTGCACAGCTTTACTGAATTGTAGTTCTACTTCTCTATGACCTTTTGATTTAAGGATTTTGACATTACCATAAGAGTGTATATACATATTTTGAGTTATTAAAAATTAGATGTTAACTGTTATATAAATCATAAAATAAAGGGTAATAAGCAAAATGTGTAAAACAAAAGTAAGACTAAATATATACTCTTGATTTAAACTTCCAAGTCTGTGGGTCTTTGGTACGTAATCTAATTGCACCTCCAGTGTTTAGAAGCACGGTGCTAGAAGTAACACATAATCTTTCTTTACACTTACGGACAAGTTTATTGTATTTTTTTAAACTCACTAATTTCACTGTTTAGGTTTGAGACTAATGGTAACTGCTGACCAAGGCCCTGGTCCTGAGAACAGTTAAAATCGTGTGTGCGCCTACTCATATGACTAAAGTCAGACTTCAGTGCAACTAAATATGTGAGTAGAGTTACACATGTGCTTGTGTTTGTAGTGTGAGAAGCTAAATTACAACGTTCTGGAAAATAAGTGGAAGTCTCCTAAACTATACGTGAAAGCATTCATATAAAACAGTTTACTCTAGTGTTTTAGATAAAGATGTATATTACAAGTTTCTCTTTGATGCATCTCTGTGCTATGTATCCTTAATCTTTTTAAATTAACCATAATTATAACATTACCATGGAAAATATCTTACATATTCAAAAGACTTAATATCTTTCTTTAAAAAAAACAAACCGAAAATGAAACTATATTGTAATGAACCACATGTAGCGTTAGTGTTGGAGAGAAGGCTTGGTATACACTTTGTATTGTCAAGCTTCTTTTTTTTTTTTTTTTTTTTTTAAAGCATAGGTTAAAGGTAAAATTGTAACTGGGAAATGACTAACTGAAAATAAATGATATTAACATCTGCATTTTATTATCACAACTACTACTAACAACAACATAAGAAATGAGCAGATCTTGGATAGGTGAAGGTTTACCAGCTCTTAGCAAACAAGACAGGAGAAAAAAATATACCGTGAGTGTCTTCTGTTTATCAGAAGACATTTATGGTGCCTGGAATGTTTTAGTGTTGCTAAATGTTGTTTGGCGGTAAAAGCAAGACACGCAAGAGTATCTGACTATTTTTGCATAGAGAAATATACTTGGATAAGGTTTGACTCTTTATATTGCTTCTAATGAGTGACCTTTAAAACATGAACTTGTGTGTTTTTAATTATATTGACTCAGTTTAAGTTAATTTTATTATTTGGTGGTCTTCATGAAGTATCCATGTTACACATTGTCTGATAGTTCTTTGGTTAGTTTTCAATAAATTAAGACTATAGATGACATGATTTAAAGATATTTTGACTTGCATTTTATTAGAGAGGAAAAACACATGAGCTAAATTAGTATATGTGATCTGGTTACAGTAGAACTGTATCCAGGTTTCAACTTGGAATAAACTGTTTTAATTTCACAGGAATTCTGTCAGGAAAACCATCAAACATTTTAAAATAATTTTTTTGTTCATTTTGTATTCCTGCTTTTTACAGATACTGGACCATACATAAAGCTGAAAATAGTGCAAAGTGGATAAATCAGATTTAAAGTTGAATATCTCACTGTTGAGTTCATTCACATTTCTTACTGGCTTATTTTTTAGGATTCAGTATCTGGTTTCAGTACTGTAAGGACCTTAGTCACTCCAATGAGGATTAAGCTACAGCAGTGGTTCCCAAACTTGTTCCGCCGCTTGTGCAGGGAAAGCCCCTGGCGGGCCGGGCCGGTTTGTTTACCTGCCGCGTCCGCAGGTTCGGTTGATCGCGGCTCCCAGTGGCCGC